ATGGCCCAGGACGGCTCCAAGAGGGCCTCAGAGAGCCCAAGATCGCCTCCAAGATGGCTCAAGGTAGCGCAAGATGCCTGAAGATGGTTCAGAAGACGCTCCAACACGTTCCAAGACCGCTCCAAGATGGTTCCAAGTGCCCACAAGAGCATCATTAGAGTGCCCTCAAAAGGCCGAAATGCTTCAAAACCCTAAGGAAAAATCAATGTTTTTGGTGTTCTCACTTTTTCGCGTCCGAAGCCCATCCGAGGCCCCAAGATGGCGCCAAGATGTCCCAACTGGGCCCCAACAGGGGCCCAAGAGAGCCTCAAGACTGCCTCAACAGCGTCCAAGAGCGCTCCAAGAGCGATCCAAGAGGGGTCCAGGAAGCGATTTTAGACAGTCTGGAGGGGCAGCGCTAAGTAAAGCTCTGCTCTTCTTTGATAGATTTGCTCCAAGATGCCCCCCCAGAGCGCCCCGATGGCGTCTAAAAGGACCCCAGACGCCCAACAACTGTTTCAACACAAATCCCACCAGCCTTCTGTGCGTCGGTGGTTTAGGGCGTTTCCTCTTCCACCCCTCCCTCTTTCCCTTCGGGGAGGGGTTTACCCCTCCCCCTACCCCCTCCCCACTGACCTGGACGGGGGGGGCCGCGAGCGGTCAGAGCGTCCAAAACGGCCTCGGCGAGGAAGCCAAAATCATTGAGTTGACCATGGTTTGGGCCCCATTTTGGCCTTCTGATGGGGGCAGCGCAAATTAAAGCTCCCCTCTTCTTTGATCGATTTCCTCCACGATGGCCGCAAGAGGCCCCCAGGATGCCCCAAGAGGCCGCAGGATGGCCCCAAGATGGCCCCAAGAGGCCCCCCAAGAGGCCCCCAGGAGGCCCCCAAGAGACCCCCAAGAGGCCCCAAGAGACCCCCCAGAGGCACCCAAGGTGCTCCCAGAGGCCTCGGCGATAATGTCAAACCATTGTTTGCACTAAGGTTTTAGCCACATGTTGGCCTCTTGGGGGGGGGCACTGATTAAGATGACTCCAAGAGCGCCTCGGAGAGCCCAAAATGACCTCCAAGATGGCTCAAGAAATCCCAAGATGTCTCATACTGGCTTCCTCTGTGTGCTGTCCACTTCCCTGATCGAGGCAATCCCACCAGCCCTCTGGGCGTCGGTGGTTTAAGGCGTTTCCTCTTCCACCCCTCCCTCTTTCCCTTCGGGGAGGGGTTTACCCCTCCCCCGACCCCCTCCCCGTGGACCTGGACGGGGGGGGCCGCGAGTCGAAAACATGCTGGTAAGCTTAGGTATGTGTTACGCTTCAAGCGTTGCCATATCCCAGGCTTTGGCTCATATCGCATGAGCAAGAGAGCGAGACGAAGCATGGGATCTGGAGTAAAGGATAGAAGGGGCATCTTCAATGGAAAAGGTATTTTCCGATCTCAGATACCAGTCGTGCGCCTCGGTGAGGCACAGTCATATATTTGGCCGGGCCCGGCTTGAGCCAGGCACGGCAGCGGTACATGCTCGATTTATACCTCGCCTTAAACCTTCTCCGTTTAAAGTCGGAGGGGGAGGAGACGAGCAGGCACCGCACTTCTATATTACGCGGAAAAACAGTGCTAAGCAGCAGCGGCTGCCTACAAGGCAAGGGCGCGCGAGTAGCCTCGCTACCGGCGAGTTTCCTCGCTACTAGAGCGCACCTGCATGCGGGTTTCCCCGCTAGCTCGGGAGGCAGGGCCGTCCTGAGACGACCTGCCCGCCCTATACGGAGTATGTTTCTTCAGCTCGTGCTTGAAGGATTGCTGGCCGGCCATTACTTGTAGGAGCAACGCGCGGTCAATACTACCTTTGGTATGACCATCGGCAGTCATATCCCGCGTGTCACACCATTGAACGCTTTCAACGATTCCGCGCTCCATCATCTGGCGGATCCAGCTAATGTGCCCAAGCAGAGTACATTCTGTGGGCTTCTTCAGATCTTTGCTAGACAAAGACTTGAAGACAGACTCGGCATCAATAGTCAGAGTGACTTTGATACATAGACCACCCATTTCCAATATGTTCTTTAACTGTGTGGGGGTCAATGGTCCCGAGTGTAGCTCGTGGAGCGTTACAATGGTCGGGTAGCAGTCTTCCAAGTTGTGGGCTGCTGCCAGTGTTTCCGCAGAGTAGCTCGAACGCACCTGCAGTCGATGAGACTTGCAGTATGCGTCCACCAGGTGCACGACGGGTTTCCCCGCTTGCGTGTGGCCACGCCTCAGCAGGTTTGCCCCGCGGATACCATAGCCTTTGACTTCGTCGTCTTCATCTCCGTTGAGACGACGATAGCCAGAATCGCTATGCAGGTCGACTTCTCCTGTTGGGGTCATAGCTTGATACACGATCTTCTTCGGGCCTGCCTGTAGTTTCCTGGTAACCGCGTTTAGTCATCGTACCTGGATGTTTGTCGGTTCCTGGATACGTTGTAGTGAGACAACATAGACCATCAGCCATACCTGCGTGATCAACGCATAGGCTAGAGCGCCACGAA